TGACAAACAGACACAAACAGACAGAGGGAAACCAGGAATCCCACAGTTCTTTCAATTGATCAGTGCAGGACACTAAGAAAGTCTCTGGATGAACTTTATCTTGTGATTCTGGACTCAAATCAATGAAATACAGTTCTTGTTCCAGGCAGGCCCCTCAAGGCCAGATTCGACCTGAGGCCTTGTTCACTACAATAAGTCACTTCATTGGAAAAAGGAAATGGGAAAACATAATTTTTGGTTTGCATGTTTGTTTGTTTGTTTTTTTGTAAAGACAAATATTTTATAAAAAAGCTGTGTAGACTGTAAAATCTCCTGTGTATTTTCTTCAAAGATCTCCTGTATTCTTGAGCTTGCTGAACATATGTCTAATTTTTGAGCAATAACGGTAAAGTTATTGCAAACTTGCTTGGTGGTCTGTGGTTGCGTCAGGAAGGGCATCCGGTGTAAAAATAATTGCCAAGACTTCGTGCGACTTAGTCCGTTGTGGTGACCCCTGACGAAGGGAGCAGCCAAAAGAAGAAAAAAACAAACGGTAAAGTTACGAGAGGGATCCGTGCCTCGATGGTGACTACAATGAAAACATATGGAAGGGTTATTCAGATGGTGGTGAGCTCAGTCCGACCCACAAATGAGTTCATTTAAAAAAACAGAAACAACTGGACGTGCTCATGACCTACGGTGTGTGGCATCAGTGGCAGTGAAAGGTCTTTTTGGTTGTCAAACGTGGCACTGTAGATGAAATCGCTTCACTGCCTCATCCAGAGAATGTTCTATGCATGCGACTCAGAATTACTCTATTGGGTTTCGTTGATTGCACTTATGATTTAGTGCAACAAAAGACAACAGATCATTGTACTACAGTGTTTATTTATGTAACGGCAGTAACTGTTGAATGTCAGGCCTCTGAGCTGTTTGCTTTCAGTAACCATGGCCCCCCTTGAGCAATGTTGCTGAAAGGAACTGGCATATGGTTTATGAAAATTGTCAAAAATGTATGTACCTTAGGTAATAGGTTCAAGGAACAGAATAGATTATTTTATTTATAATTGCCCCCCCTGAAAAAGACATGTATTACTCCCTCCAGGAAATAGACAACACCATAGTTCCTCTGATTCTGATGAACTATTCATCTGAACGGCACTTATGGTCATCAAATCCCCCAACGAACTGCTCAAAACACATAACAATGTACAAAATATGCATATTCATATATTACATACAAACTTACTATAAATATGTACAATGAAACATAACATAAATAAACGTACCTCGCTGGCTGCACATAACCAAAGAGGGAATGAGTTCACTTGAACAAAAGTAAATCTTCAACCAAAAAAAGGGCATTAGGTAGTACACAAACTTTTCCTGCTGCACATGCATTCTTGGATGAGGGGTGCAAAATCTTATTGTCCCCAGTGCAACATAGCACTGAACAGTGGTTCCTACATGGTGTAACTTACAAACAAATCAATATTCAAAATAAGTAAATAATGCAAACCACACATGTAAACAAAAAATATCAAATAGGAGAAGAGAAGCTGACGAGCAGTCTTATTTCAAGGTAAGCGCCGAGGAATATTTCTCAGTGACAGGTCACTACACGCTGGACAACGCCATCTTGTATTTTTCCTCTTATCGCCGACCCTCGGAGCGAATCGGATGGTTCCTCCGGGACAGGCGCGCTCAGCTGCAGCCCCACTGCTCATTTCCTCCTGGGGAGCGTAGTGTCGGTGGAGGGGGGCTGAGTGAATGCTCACCCCATCCCACCTCGTTTCGCATCGGCGATTACACCGCTCCCGGCCGACGGCGCCCTCAGGGGTTGCCCGGCGTAACCCAGGAGGCGGCTGACATGAAAGGACCCTTTTTTACGTCCTACGCCTTTCCCGCCAGTTCGGATGATCCGGCGGGAAGGTTGTTTACTGGGTTCCATTCCGGCTCACCGTCTTGATCCATATGGCCTCGTGTTCCCAACAGGACGTCCTACGGGCAAGGCCACAGACGGGGTTTTTTTTCCTGGTAGATTGGGGGAGCCGGTCTCCACAGTCCGCACCCATCCCCAGAGCAGGGGTTCACTGAGCGGAAAGTCCCTCCGTGCCCCCTGGAGCCGAGCCTGATGGAGGTTTCATTGGAGTAAGATGTCGAGGTGGACCAGCGTTTCATGCCTCTGGTTAGCATAACCGAGACGG